TAAATGTGTTAAAGAAGAAAGATGCCCCCCCCCCCTTTTTTTTGTGCTTTAAATCCCACACAGTAACAACAACTTTGTAAAACATGCAAAGCCTCTGAAATCTCCTGCACGCGACCTGGGCTCGTGCGCGGCGCTGGAGCCAGGCAGGTGCAAGGGGCGCGAGGACCTCTGCAACTCGGGGCTCGTGCTCCCCAGAGTGCACACGCACACAAAAAGAAAAGACAAAAAAGAAAAGAAAAGAAATGTGAAGTCTGACTGAATAAATAACATTTGTTTCTATGTTTAAAATCACCAGAGCAAAGATGCCAGAGCTCAAAATATCCAGTTTTGGCACAATGGACGTCCACAGAAATATAACTTTGTTCAGTAAAAAAGTGCTTAATGGTTTCTCAAAAATATTTGACTTATGAGGCTTTTTTAGATGAAAATATCTCTTTTTAAAGTTTGCATATTGTTATTATCTGTACTGTGATATACATATATATAAATATATATTGAAAAGCAACATTATTAGTTTGACTTTTGATTATTTGGTATATTTATGAGCTAAATGTTTTAGTTGTAACATGTAGACTATAGTCTATATTCAATATTAATATAATTAGGCGATACAAACGATATAATTGAGTCAACATTATGCCTTTTAGTTTTTGTAGTTATTAGAATTGAATTAGTTGAGAATTGTGACAATAGAGTCTTTCAGACAACAATTCACCGTGAAGAGCTGTCAGTCAGGTTCAAAGCAGATGGTCAAATAGAGAACTAAAAGTTTATACAAGTGTTAAATAAACTACTTTTTTAAGGCGCTGTCAGAAAATAATTCCCTCCTGAAATGATAACCACCAAATGTAGGCTTATTATTATTGTTGTTATTATTATTACATGTTCTAAATAGACCGATTATCTGAATCAATAATCGACTTCACAACATTATAGCCTAATGTTATATTTGTGTGTACTTGCACTTGTATTGTTAATCAATTTTCTGCATGTTCTGCACGAGACACCGCTTGTGTGCGTGTGTGTTTGTGCGTGCGTGTGCGTGCGGTTTTCGTCAGGGACGATATTATATGCACACTGCATTGATGCCAGGGCCCTTCTCCTTCTGATTATTACCAGGGGTAATATTTCATCGGCACCACGCAATCTTTGTTCTCTGTGAAGATAATAAATGGCCTAATCGTTATCAGCAAACTGCTGGGGGTGTCGGCACCGACCGAGGCTGGAAGCGGGGTCCAAAGTGCTGCTGAATAAATTGGTGTTCCTTATCTCTCACTCCCAGATTATCGCCGCCTTTTCAAACTTGCACAACAAATACATTCAATGCATCTAATGCATCATTTGTGTGCGTGCGTGTGTGTGTGTGTGAAAGAGAGAGAGAGAGAGTGCGTGTGTGTGTGTGTGTGTGGGGGGGGGGGGGGGGGGGTCCCGTAGGTTGATAGAGACAGATAGGCGAGAAATGTTTACGCGCAGCAGCGGTACAGCCAATATAAGCTCTGTATAGCTTTAGAGGGAGTTTATTGGCGAGACCATTGGTTGGTACACACACGACACTTTACATATCAATACAAGCATGTATTAAACATACATCAGTGTGATATGATGCTTATCTGTCTGATTAGTCCCATTACTGCTCGAGGATGTGGAGCTTTTATTTTTTTATTTAGTCCACCTTTTGGAAATTCAGCTGTTTACAGCTCATCAGTTTTTACAAAATAAGACTATTTTGTCACAAATTTACCATCTTAGAAAACACAGTGGATTCAGATGTAGGCTAAATCTACATATGATTTTGATATTTTTGGGCTGTCCCTATAGATAACAGCATACAATGCAGATAACGCGATGAGCTCAATTTCCAACTATGATTGTACTTGTGAGAAATGATTCCCTCCTAATAAACACATCGCAGCGTGATAGCATTATATTCAGTTTCACAACAAGCTAAGCCGCTTAACATGCACCGTTGATTTTCTCTGATTTCGTTTGGTCTGGTCAGTGGGCCTACTTGTCTGCAGAGCAAACGGGCCTCACATTAGGCCCGTGTTATGGTTTAAATAAACTGCCGTGGCGTTTGGTTAGTCTTTGTTTGCCATCATTTGGAAAACAGAAGACACACCGGGCTACATTTTATAATGTCAGGCGAGTGCAGTTTAATTTAGCGAATAACGAGACACTTTTTCACGACTGACCTTTTCCTATATGTGTTCACATTTAATTTATCATTTCAACATGCGAACAGTAATAATGCTGCTGGCCAAATGTGGCAAAAAAATCATCCGGGCGTCTACAATGCAGTATTTATGAGTGACACTTATGACGAAAAAAAAGAAAACATTTCCAACACACACACACACACACACTCCCCTTTTAATACCGTGGCATCTCCACCGGCCCCGGTGCTCTGATGGTCTCCTAGACAACCGAGATAACGGTGCAGCAGTTTTCCATATCGGTCCCGGAGTCTATTATAGCTCGGGATTAACTCTCTTTCCGAAAAGGTCATACACAAAGTCACCAAACCTGCTTTTTTTTTCCACCCTATCCCCGCGTCAAGGCACATTTATAAACATGCATGCGTCATTTCATGTAATGCCATTAGACTAATGGCACTGCGCATTTTTATGCGCTAAAAACACACACACACACACACACACACACACAAAAACTAGTAATATAAATCAGAGCCTTCTGCGGAGATAGAAGAGCCCAGTCTCCCCCAGCAGCGAGGCGGAGACGTGCACACTGCAGGAGAGAGACGCAGTCAAGTCACGCAGGAGAGAATGTGCTGTTATGTAGCGACCCCTGGCGACGAAGGGATGCAGTAGCACTACAAGAGCCTCTGAGTCCTCTTTGTGTGTGTGTGTGTGTGTGTGTGTGTGTGTGTGTGTGTGTGTGTGTGTGTGTGTGTGTGTGTGTGTGTGTGTGTGTGTGTGTTGCTCACTGTATATTTGCACGAGTGACTCTGAGGGATTGAGCAAGAAAGACATTGTAATAATCAAGCAGCCCGGAGAGGGAGGGAGACTATTGCACAGCTGGAATGTTCCAGCTGGGATTCCTGGTGGCTGGACAGGAAGTCAGAGGAGCTCTGACAGGAAGTGTGTTCTCAGGGAGGGCCAGCACCGAGAGAGAAAGAGAGGGAGAACCGTTTCCTGTTGGCTCTCTCCACATGTTTAGACGCCTTGCTTACTTTGTCCCCCGCCCTCTCTTTCTTGATCCACTTCACACCCAACATGAGTACATAACAATATGCACATGGGTTCAGCAGCATCCTCCTGTGCTCACAGAATAAAATAATAGGAATGCTATTGGACAGTGGTGAGCCAGGACAGTCGATTGTGTACGCAGGGTATTGTGTCACAGGATGCAGATGTCACCGTATGAAGTGAAACTTCCTGCCCATCAAAGCAGTCGGTGCCAGTTTAATGGACTCGCATTCAGCAGCCCACAACAGTGGTGATCATGGAACTAAGGCAAGAAACATTCAAGAGGGAGAGATGGTGGAGGAGAGGAGGAGAGAGCAAGTGGGGAGATTGTAGGTAGAGATGTGATGGAGCGATATGTGGATTGCAAGAGGAAAAATCTCTTTGTCTCTCCTGAGCTCAGTGGACAATCAAAGTTTCCTATCAGCTCTGGAGTAGGGGAAATTGGCTGCCCTGGGAAGGAGAGGGCCACTCTCACAGCCAATGGGAAGTGCCCCTGTCACTCTAATCAGCTCCGATAGAGAAAGTAGGAAACGTGTGCGTGTGTCCGTGCACACGCTCAGACAAGAGTGCTTTTTTTAAAACAGAGAGCAGCTTTGTTTCACTCGCCTTCATGCGATCCAAGACGATACAAAGTCTAAAGTAGCGTTAGACCTTCATTTGCCGCTCATCCCCTGCACGGAGGGACATGTATGAGCCACGCGGGTGCATTTTTTTGGCAAAACTTGCCCTGATAGGCATGACCATCGGTGCTTTGATGGAGCGCCATGTGGCAGAGATCAGTGGGTCTTAGTGGGAGCTGTGGACAGTTGCACACAAGGGCGGCAAGGGAAGAGGATTACTGTCTCATCGATACAAATCCATACAGAGAGGGAGGTTGACATCAATATGCACACAGATATAGGCAGAGCACAGGGGCTTTGAGCAAAAGTGTGCGCGACGTAAACATCTGCACGAGAGGAGGACGGCTGTGGACTTTGATGCTCGCCCTTTTCTGAGCCGTCCCATCTTCCCCGCTCTGCCTCCATCCCCACCTCCTCCATGCCAGACAAGAATGCGTCTCTCTGCACCCAGGGCCCAATCCTCCGTTTGAAGTCCCATCTCCATCTTTGCGCGTCCTACGCTGTCCTTCCCTTCCTCCATCTTTCTGGCCGTCTGACTGTCTGATCTGTCATCCCTGCTTCCCCCCCTCCGTCCGCTGCAGCTGCGACGAGGGCCACAGACGCCTTCATTGTCCCTCTCTTCCTTGCCCTCACGCTTCTGCACCCGGCCAGATCACACCTGCCACCTGCACGGGACGCAGGGCCCCGGGACCTTAGCCGCGGGGCTTTCATCCATCCCTCACCTCGCCCTTCAGAGCCTCTCATCCCCTCATCCCGGCACCCTGTCACTGAGGAATGGCCGGTGCAGAGGGCCAAGGGGCAGAGCGGGACACAGAGATGCTGTTGTGAAGCTGTGTGTTTTAAGCGGAGCCAGAGGGAATCAGCGCAGGTGAGGCGTGTTTGAGGGCAAGTTTTGACTTTAGATTTGAGTCATATTTCTTCTTTTCGATGACATCCTTTTATGGCTGGGTAGCAGGATTGACTGAAATTGAATGAATGTATATCGTGAGGAACGTGGACCTCAGTGGGTGTGTGTGTGTATGTGTGCATAATAACACACTGACAGTGAGGGTGGTGGCTCTGTCTCAGTGATTTATGAGAGTGTGCTGTGAAGGGTCTTCTGAGCAGGATATTGTTCCCTGACTGGTGACTTCTGCCTCTCTCTTTGTGTGTGTG